TGACGTAACGCTGATGTTCGATATATCCGAGCAAAGACGTCGTCCGCAACAAGTTGCTCAACAAACTCGGTTCCCCGAGGTGTTCTCGAGAAACCGAGCCACTCCGCGCCAGGGTGCCGTGCATACGTATCAAATGCGGCAATACCGTGTCCTACCGATACACAAAGCGACGGCGGTGGTGCACCACGTCGACGCGGTGTAACGTCGGCCTTGATTTATGGATGGGTAACGCCGCACCGTCGTGTTCTGACTGTCGGAAACAAGGACACTGTAGATTTTCGCGTATACGCGTTAACGATTCAAAATAGCCAGCGACACCCGGCGAAATATCCCCGTCGCCGTTACTCGAAATCCGGATATCAGGCATTCGCAATGGTTATTCGAACATTGAAGGATAATACATTCGTTACTATCAAGTTTTCAGATCAACAGAGCTAATTACGGAATAAATGTGCATATTTTTCGATAATAAATTTTGTTAATATTATTTTAAAAAATTACAAATTATCGGATATGTTATATTAGATTGATGTAAAAGGTTTGTATTCAAGTAAAATTAAAGAATTGCAGGATTGTAAATAAATTATTATAAACTAAAATATTGAATTAATAATCGAATAAACTAAAATAATCACCATTGATGTCTATACATTTTTTCATCTGGAAACAAGATTTTATATATCTGATTTAAAAAACTCCAAATTTATTTTAATAAAAATTGATAACTTTATTTAAAATAGAAGCAACAAAAATTTTACATCAGCCTAACATATTCCGTGAGATAAACAAGATTGCCTTCTATTTTTGGCATCAACAATTGTCTCAGAGAGAGAGAGAATAATGCACATTTTACCCACACACAAGTTAATTTTCAGATTAGTCGAGCTCCGACAGGAGAAAATTGCTAAAGACATAAATAGATTTCGTTTTAACATTACGTTTTACATATTATACGACCGATTAAGTGGGTCGGTTAGCCAGCCGTGTTCTAAATATATCCAGCCAGATATACTGTCGTCATTATCGTCGTAGATTTAACGAGATTTCGATTATGGAGCTCCCCATAGTAACAATACTGTTTCGGTTATCATATCACGCGTGTATAGGACTGAGCTATCGACCTCATAAATTCGAACGAGTAAAGAGACTTTTTAAGTGGCTACATATGGTCGCGATAGTACGTAACGCTGGTGCACGTGGTTTATCTGCGTGCTTATAAAACTGCAGGCGAAACACCGCTCTGCCTCGGGACAATAAAAAGTAATTTCCACACCGCCGCGATAAGCTTCTCGCAGACGCGATACAGAAAAAGCGCGAACTAGTTAATTTTTCCTATAAATAAAGCAAAATAAAACGTAGTTCGACAAAATGTAGCAATATTCACGCCGTGATTCATAAACCAAGAACAATTAAAACTAATTTTATTCTCAAAAGAATATTAAAAAGTTTTTTCTTTTGACGTTACGAGCATTTTTTCTCGAACAAAAAAATTGCCAAAGATTGCAAATGTAAAATCGCTAATCAACGTTTTATATGCAGCGATCGAACGAGCGATATCGTAATGACAGAGTGAATCGCCCAGCGGAAAGATAAAAAAATGCGTCTGTAGCTTATTTCGCGGAAAGAATACTCCGATAAAGAACTGCAAACGTGGCGACTACGGGATTAGCCGCAATCATGGGTTGTTTTTAATGGCGCTCCTTTTTTTTTATGAGACAAGCGTGAGACGAGGATGTAAACGATACATTTCCGGTAAGCTCGCGGAAAATGACCAGGTAGTTTTCCGTTTGGATTATTTCACTTTTCCCTGTCTCGTTGCTCGCCATTGTTTTTGCTCGTCAGTCCGTATAACGTTTATGATATCGACTTACCGTGCCGCAGCGTCGGTGCCGTTAGCGGTATGCTGTATTTATTTTGCGTGCCGTCCAAGCTTCATCATGCCTTTCATGCGGCGTATGATATTGTACCGGTAAACTCGGTTAATTCGACACCGCTGGAAATAATTTATATTTTTTTTTCGACAACTCAAAAATACAAGTGAGCTGTATTTCATAAACGAAATGAGTGTATTTTTAATTAAATTATAATATTAAATTAGTTTTTATTTCATATTTCAGCTGTGCCCACAATGAAATAAATTCATGACACGTTAATTAACCCGTTAATTCAACGAGATTAGTTAATTCATTTTTAACTGTTTTACGCAAATAGAGACGGTTTTTTTTATCAAGAGATTATCCAATTAACTGGTTATTAAATAGCGTAATACTACGCTAAATATCACGATGATATACAGGATAATCCTAAAGTAACCATCTACTTTGCAAAAAACGTTCAGAAATGTAGAAATTTACAAATATTTACGTTCTGTGCAATTTATTGAATGAAATAGAGAATCGCCGAAAGTGAATGTGCGACTAACGTGGTATGACTAACTCAAAGGTTTCTTTTTTGCGGAAGCAACAATTACAGAAACCGTGTACTTTGACACGCTCCAACAATTTCTCAACTTCCGCAGGATGGTATTCTCGGCATTGCAGTCTTTCAACAGAATGGAGTACCATGTCATTATGCCAGACTATCTCAACAATCGTTTTCCCGGTCGGTGAATTGAGCGTGAAAAATCTCGACCTTGGGCAGCCTTGAATTGCCGCATTTTGTTCAAAAAATACACGAATAATCAAGTCGTTAGCGTGTTTTTTTTGCGATTCCTTATTTCGCATAATAGATGATTATTTTAAGGATATCCTGTATTTATAAAAGTGTTCCTAGTAAATAAGGTAATTTTTGTATACTTTATTTCGGTTAAATTTCAGGTTAATTTAAAGTTCAAGGGTAACAAATATGCAAATTATTGGTGACGTATTATTACTGTTAGAACAAAACACAGCGCACAGCTTCTGAAATTAATCAATCATTAACTGGACTAATTGCATCAACGAGTTAGCTAACGGATAAAACGCGACAAATATTTGCTTGCAATACAATCGATTAACACGAAACCGCAGTACGTTGTAATATATCTAATTTACAAACATCTATATACGCGTAAAATGTTTCAAAAATTTCAGTAAAATTATTCGCGTGACATGAATAAAATTTTGCAAAATCGTTTTATTCGAACTGTCATCTGATATTAATTATATTACACGGAATAGCTGAGATTTTTCCTAATTATTAAACATTTTTCATAAAATACCGCAGAATCCCGTTCCGTCATTCTTAATTATAGATTCTTTGATAAATTTGGAGCCTATCTTTTCTCAAGAAAAATTTCTTCGAAGAAAGCGTCATCTCTAGTACAACTTCGCGATATTCAGCATTAACTATCTTGGTAATTAAACATTGAAGTCAAACTTTGGGAAAGTAAAGTCCACTGAATAATAAAGTTTTGTTATATTTAATGACGTTCTCTCGAAAGTTTTGTTCGCATTTACGTCTTCACATTTTCGACCGTTTATATTCCAACTTTTATCGAGTTGCTTTGACGTATTAATTAACGGGAAAAAATCAATTCTAATTCATAAAGAAGTCTTTCATCAAAATAAAGCTACTAAAACTTAGTTTTAATTTCCGCGATTTTTTATCAGCTACAATTTTTGCAATATATTTTTTTGGTTTCTTCCAAAAATGAGCAAAAACAATGTCGTAAATATTTTATGGTAAAATAATCAAAAGTCCAGAATTGCCCCTAAGTAAACTTATATCGTTATTAACTCATAATTTGATGGAAATTGAAGACAACTTTTATTAGTAAAAAGGTCGCGCCGTCAATGTAAGGCTTTTTCACAAATTAAGCTTTAGATGATAAGTAATGAAACATTATTCCTCGTTAAAATGAGTTATATCAGAATTTTAATTTTAATTATTTCTGTAAATAATAAAATTTAAAAAGTGACAATGTAATAATATTCTATAATTTGCCATAAAATTACATTTGCTATAAAATGTAACAGTTAATTATAAAACGTAATACTTTCGTCAGTTTCAAAAAAAAATATTTTGCCACAAAATTCATTTACCTTTTAATATGACATATGTACATATGTCAGTATTTCTAATTAATTACATTAATTATTAGTATTCAAATTTACTTTTAAAGCAAATGTACATGATATTCAGTTGCATGATTCTGAAACCCCTTTGTCGTATGCAAAGCTTTGCGCGACTGTCCGCTATTGATAAATCGTGTTTAACCTGTTACATTTCTAAGATACACGTCAGAATTCAAAATCTGTTCACAGCAGCGTGAACGATATCCAGTCAGAGTGTCGGGAAGAGAAATGTATTCACGAATAACGGATAACGGGTTTGAACTTGTATTCACGAATGTATCAGTGTATGTAAAATGTTCGCTACTACACTCATGTATTACATACGCGTATGTTTTGCTCAGTAAAACCGCATCAAAAAAAGTGCATTTGTCCTTCGCGCAAGGACACGACGCCATCTGACGCTCTCTGTTTCGCGGTTTCCCTCGTACAAAAAAAAAAGTGTGCTTAAGTGAAGTGACATAACGGTTTCTCCACACGCCGGAAAGCTGCGATCTTGTCATCGGATAAAAAGAAATGTACTACATTTGTAATGCTTTTTAAAAATATACGCGACCATTACGCGTAAACCCGTGTTTCTACACACGGCATGGTCATCGATGCATCAGGTGTCAGTCACTCCGAAACGTGAGAGCAGGTCTCCCGTGTATGCGGTCGGCGATGCTTGTCGAATGCCCGCACTATCTTTTTTCGTAAAGACATCAACGCGAAAGCAAATCAAGCGGCGAATCGCAGGCGAGAAGCGTTGTGCAATCGTCATCTCGCAAACGTGGACAAATAGGACAGTTCTATAACGGGAAGTGAATAGCGAAAAGTGCGTCGAAGAAAGTTGATGCCAGTAACTTCGCATCTCGCCTACGTTCAAGTCGCCGAATCGCGCTAACCTTCAACCGACAACGGCTAGAAGTAGCGGATAAAAATGAGGACAAAATGAAGATAGCTACTCACCCGGTGTACCGTTGGCCGTGGCAATTCCCTCCGTGACCCGTTGCCGACGTCGCCGGCGGCGTCGTCTTCGTTCGTCTCGCGCGCCTTTCACCGTTTCGCAATCGACGAAATGATGCGCGCTTCTCGGAATCTTCGTTCACTACGATGTCGTGTTTTTTGTATTATTCCCGACACACGACGACTGACATTAATGCAGCTGACCGCCGAGAAACGCACAAGCGTACGTGGACACGCATGAGCGCGACTGCGAGGACTCCAAAACACTGTATAGAAAGAACCGAACCGAACGCTTCCATCGGTCAGCTGCTACTGGCAGCCGTGGCGGAGCAAGGTGGGCAACTGCTTTTTGCGCGCCGTCTTGCGTCAGTATTCAGAACTTGTAGATGCTCTTTGCGCTATTAAACAGGTACTACTAAGATAGACAGCGCTAGGTAAATTTTTATTATCGAAAGAGACTTGACCGTTGTAAGATAATATTATCGATTGTTTCAATTATTCGATATAAAAGTATAGAAATATTTTGATGACTTATGAATTTATTTTATATTTTATTAATATTTAAATATTCTGCAGCGCGGTAATATTATATATTTCTGGAATACTGTTTCTGCAGTTACCATCAGTATGAATGACTATTGAATTACAGTTTTCTTCTTTTTTATATTTGTAAGGAAAATGTAACTCGATTTTATATAACTTTCTTGCAAGTTGCTGTTATTATTTTCATTGCTGTAACTCGTAACATATGTACCTGGCGTCGAATTTGTAATCTGTTACAAGATATAATACTTCGTACATGTACTGCAATATTTTACATTAATGTAAGTAATTTGACTGTGATTGTAAATTTAAAGGTTAAGTGTCACGCTTGTGTCACGCTTTTGTCACTCATTATTTCAATAAAATCGTATGATTAATGTAAGTATGTTGTTCAAATTGTAGCCAAAACTTGTACGAGGATGTTTTCATCGTGTGCAAATAACATCGTCGGATAACACTGACTTTTGCATCGTTTATAGAATAATTCATTTAGGTTAGGTTCATTATAAGTTAATTTTAGATGATTTTATCATCTACCTGTACGTGAATTTATTATTTTTATAAAATTTGACAATGTTACTTTTCGCAACATGAATAGCGATCCGGGCATTGTGTGTTTTCGCCATTGTCAAACAAAAAGTGTATTTTGCAAGCGTGTTCCAGTGACATGTCCAGTTTGCTCGTCGCAAATACGGAATTTTATCGTAGATCCGTTTCGCGTTCCATATCCATTTGCAAATGCCACTCAAAATCCAACCAGTATTGTTATTCGACCCTCGCAAGGACGCTTTCTTGATGATTACGATGTGACGCATGACTTACATATAGGAGTAGTCAACTCCGATGGATGCATTGTTGAATTCGATAAAGATGGATTGATAATGAATGATGTAGCTAGGTGGACTGATTGCGTCGCTTTCAGAGTCGTGCCGCTTGCCTGGACTGTTAAATGGGATGAAACATTATCACGCATGTCCAAAGATCTCAAATGGAGATCCATTGACTACAATGAGATTACTATGAATTGCTTCAATTTTGTTTTGGAATTTTTCAATAATTTAGGGTTTACTGATCTGAAATTTGCAAATAAAGAAGATCTTTGTGAGAAATTAATATTGTTAAAAATTCAGAATGCAGTCAGATATAGTTTGTTGTATAGAGCCTTGAAGGATCAAGAATATTTGCTGTCAGATCATTGCTCTTGATATTTTTTAACTTTTACTATTAATATTATTTGTAATTATTGTAATAAACATTTTTTTTTACATTAATATATCAGTCTTCTTGTTAATCCTCTATTGCATAAATTGTTATTTTTACTGAAGTAGTTAAAAAATGTTAAGATATGTAAGAAATATTGAAAATAATCACAAAAGTTGCAGTATAAAAGAAAGTAAAATTAGATTTGCTAGAAATAAAGACAAATAATTTACAGAAAATTAAAACTTTCAATATTATGCAAAATACGAATGAGAATTTTAATTTCATATTAGATATAAATATAATAGGTAGCATTATTTTTAGAAGTTTTTAAGTAATAATTATGTAAATTTTAAAGCACCCAATTATCTTTGCAGAAAAACTATAAAGAGTACATCAGTGAAACAAGATGATTCTTATAAAGATTAGAACGTCCTTATTTAGTGCACGTTTTGCACGAAAACGGATATTGAGAAGATTAATCACAAACAACAGCACAGAAAAATTTGATGTGATTGTTGTCGGTGGCGGTCATGCTGGAACTGAAGCATCTGCAGCTGCTGTCAGAATGGGTGCAAAGACACTATTAGTTACTCAGAAGAAGAGTACTATAGGTGAGTATTTTTAGTATTGAAAGCTATTTGAATTTGGCAGTGACATGTCGAAATTCATTTCAAACACTCTTATAAAGTTGTTTGAAATGAAATTATATGATTTAATGCATTTGCAGGAGAGATGTCGTGTAATCCGTCTTTTGGTGGAATTGGAAAGGGCCATCTGATGAGAGAAGTGGATGCTTTGGATGGAGTATGTTGTCGAATATGCGATATTTCAGGAATACATTACAAAGTTCTGAACAAGAGCAAAGGACCGGCGGTTTGGGGTCTCAGAGCTCAAATCGATAGGACATTATACAAAAAACATCTTCAAGCTGAACTCTTCAATATGCCTGGCTTACATATCTACGAATCTTCCGTGGAAGATCTGATTTTAGCGAATGATCCTTTATCATGCAGTGGAGTAATTCTAAGTACGTTTCAAGCCTTATAATAAATATTTATTTGGATTTGATTAATTTATTTGATATCAATGTTTCATGAAAAAGATGCTAATCTATTTTATTAGAAGAATCATATTTTATCATTGGAGGTGGCATAATAATAATATATCATTAAAAATATGTTTAATAGAAGATGGAACGAAGATATCTAGTGATGCGGTAGTTATAACCACAGGCACTTTTTTGAAAGGCCAAATAAACATCGGATTGGAAAAAAGACCAGCAGGTAGATTAGACGATGAACCCAGTATTGGTTTGGCAAATACATTAGATAGACTTGGATTTCGAATAGGAAGATTGAAGACTGGTAAGAATAACACTTACTAATTTACACAATTTGCATTTCAATATATACTTTTTACTTATTGTTATAATATTATATACAATAATTATTTTATTATTGATTTTAGTAATGCATTAATTATAATTAAATATTAATTTTTATATAGGCACACCACCAAGGCTAGAAAAAGAAAGCATCGACTTTACTAAGTGTGCGGTATATTTAGCGGACAATTCTCCTATACCGTTCTCATTTATGAATGATAAAGTATGGTTACCACCCGATAAACAAGTACTAACACATATAACGTATACGAATGAGAGCGTCGCGAAAATCATAAAAGATAATATGCACTGTAATTTGCATGTCACAGAGGAAATATCGGGTCCACGATATTGCCCGAGCATAGAGAGCAAGATTTTGCGATTCAAAACGCATAAACATCAAATCTGGCTGGAGCCGGAAGGCCTGGACTCGCCATTGATTTATCCGAGCGGATTGTCGTGTACTTTACCGGAAGAGAAGCAAGTAGAACTTGTTAAATGCATCCCAGGATTGGAAAACACTCGTCTAGGTATGCCTTCAAGTTAAAACTCGCCTTAAATTTTATAAATTTTTGAAAGCTTATGATTTTTTCAAAGCATTGGAAAAAATTAAATGTTGTTTTCTTTAATTTGTATATAGATAATTTTTTGTGTTATATTTATAATTGGATTCAATTTGTTTCTACTACTTTTATATCATTTTTTCAATTTTTTTACAGTAAGACCTGGTTACGGTGTCGAGTACGATTACATAGATCCCAGAGAATTGACCTCTCAATTGGAGACGAAAAAATTCCGGGTTTATTCCTCGCGGGACAAATTAACGGTACAACCGGTTACGAGGAAGCTGCCGCGCAGGGCATCGTCGCAGGTGTTAATGCAGCCGCTAAGGTGATTAGTGTTACGTTAAAAGTGCTAATACTTTTCCATGTAGAGAAAAAGGTTTAACATTCTTAGAACTCTTTTCTGCAACCATATATCATATTATCAGAAGTTAACTGAATTATTCAAATCCTACAATGTCATTTATTGTAAATGTTTTATTCATCACAAAACGTAATTAACATTTCTTTTGTTTTTAATAAAAAATTTTCTTTTTACGAGATATTGACAAATCCTGATAAATAGATATATATCTATGTTTTTTATATGTCTATATGTTTTTTTATATTCTGAAGAAATCTGCATGTATATTCAGGTGTTTAAGAAACCGCCACTTCTGATAAGTCGAACTGAGGGTTACATCGGCGTCCTCATCGACGATCTAACGACGGAAGGCACCACAGAGCCCTACAGAATGTTCACCAGCAGGTCGGAGTTTCGAGTGAGCCTGCGGCCCGACAATGCTGATCAGAGATTGACCGAGAAGGGTTATATGATTGGCTGTGTTTCGGACGAGAGGATCAACAAGATGAGAGAGACTCTTAGCAGGATGCAGGAAACTATACAGATACTTAAGAGTGAAGTGCAGTTGTTATCCAAGTGGCGAAAATTGTTAAAGATGAAAGTTTCTAAAAACTGCGGCCCTAAATCGGCCTTCGAGATGTTATCCATGACGAATGACAAAATGACGTTTGCGCGATTAAAGAAGGCATTGCCACACTTATTAGGCCATCTGGATGGAGATTCCACTCTGGCAAAAAGAATAGAGGTTTGAAAATTGATTATTGAAATAATAGATTTTCCATTTCAAATAAAGAATTTCGCAATTTGAAAACAATATTTATTTCTCAGTAAAGTTAATGTTCTAAAAGTTCTCATTTAGTGCGTTTAAGTAAAACAAGCATGTGTTTGCGGACTTCAATGATTGTGATGATTTTTAGATAGAGGCAACATACGCTCATGTCGTTGCTGATCAGCAACATGAAGTAGACGATCTAAGGAGAAACGAGCAAATGATTATACCCGCTGATATTAACTATAATAGGTAAAAATCTACACATCAAAGATTCATATTGTCATTTGATTATTTATTGAGTCGTTGCATAAAATGGATCCATTTCTTGAAATTTATATTTTTGAAAAAGTACAGCACAAGACACTTGGAATTACAAAATTGTTTATTTTATTCTTGTTGCAGTCTTGAATTAAATTTATCTAATGAAGATCGAGAGAAACTCAGGAAGCATCTTCCACACACGGTAAATCTTTTTATCAGTACTTTTTTTTTTTTTATTTAAATTGCTAGTTATTGTTATTTACAAAGAGCTTCTTATCTCTTTAATAATTGTCTTCATTTTTACTAACAATCCATTAATCTATTAAATATTTATTGTGCAGATTGCGGCAGCCAATAAAATTTCTGGCGTAACACCTTCAGCTGTATTAAGGTTACTTAATTATATTAGACATCAACAAAATCTTGGAACATAATGCTTTATTATAATAATGAGAAATAAATAAAACTTCTATGTTACAAAAATTTCAATGTTATACTATAACAATACTACTTACAATAATTCTAAAAAAGAAATAAAAAATTTTTGAAATTTAAATTTTATTTTATGGTGAATGTATCATATGTGAATTTTCGAATTTATATTTATATCATTAATATACAATTTTTGCATTTTTATGTATTTTGGTTACATTTTTATATATAAAATCTTGATTGTGTTCTAATTTTGTATAAGCATTCAAACAAATAATTAACTCACAATAATTATGTGCAAAATTTATATCCTGCAAAAAAGCAACGTTAGGAAATAATGTGTATTTATCTAATAATTTAACAAGTAGACTAGAGACAGGAGTGTCTTTTTGTTTGATATTTAAATAAAGTATATATATTTTAATCTTTGCGCACAATATTGTTGTCTCTCCAGTCTTGCCATCTGTATGATCTATGCAGTAGTTATGTAGTTAAAGTATATCCACATAAACTTGCATAACGCAAAAGCATATACATAAGGAATTGGATTAGTCCGTGTTACGCGTTTATGCAAGTTTGTCTGGATATACCCTTAAATCATAAATTTGGCAACATTGCTTGAGTGGGTGAAATGCAGACGGCCATATGTATAGATTTGTGGAAAACTTCAGGACGGATGCATTGTTTGTTGTTTCTTTCTTGTTGGTCTTCTTCGATAAATTATTAAAAATATGGTACCTCTCGGCCCATCGCCAGGACACCAAACGTCCGTCAATAATTCTTCCTCTGCTGCTGCGAGCGGAACGAAAAGCAACGCGACATTGGTAATTTATAATTGAATCGTGACACGTGTAGGTTAATCTAGCAAGTAGCGAACCGGTGTTGATTATAATTCAAATTTAATGTTAAATAAATAGTAAATGAAAATGAATGACATCATTTATTTCTATATCGAAATTAAATTTCTTAAATATATATTTTTTCTCGCTTCCCTTAAATGTAGTATAGCGAAAAGCGTACATATGGATATAGCATGATTTCCGATTAAAAGGAATCAAAATTTCGGAATAAGTTTTTTTCGTACAAAGTTTTGCTTTTGAGAAAAACAGCTTTGAAAATATGATGAATGTCTACTGTGCAATTTTTATTTGATTGGACGATTTTCATTTTTTTGTCATCATTGTTTCATGCATTGGCTGTTATGTTTGAATATGTGTTTGTGATTTTCAAACTTAACGTTTGTATTCTTAAACAGCATTTAGCATAGCACAATAATGAAAAATGTATTTATTTTTGCTTTTCTTGTTACAGAAACCCAATTATACGTTAAAGTATACATTAGCTGGTCATACAAAAGCAGTTTCATCTGTTAAATTCAGTCCCAATGGAGAATGGCTAGCAAGTTCTGGTGAGTAATGATCCTTTTGAGATGAAAAGAGGCGCTTTTGCGAAAGTTATTTTGAAATAACAAGATGATTTTTAATAACAATGATAAATTTTTATTTTCAGCTGCTGATAAGCTTATTAAAATATGGGGCTCTTATGATGGAAAGTTTGAGAAGACTATATCTGGTCACAAGCTTGGTATTTCAGATATAGGATGGTCTACCGATAGTAGATTGCTAGTATCAGCTTCAGATGATAAAACCTTAAAAATATGGGAATTAAGTTCCGTAAGTAATTCATTATATGAAATTGTTTTGGAATTGAAGAGTAAATGCAGCATTTTTGACAATAATTTCCAAGCTATATTGAGAAAAAGAATTGTCGATACTGTTTTAATCGTCTATGTCAAGGCCTGATTTACATTGTGCTTCTTGCGTATTGTTTCTCACTCTCTGTCTTTCGTATTTTTGCTTGTTATATGTTTGTTGCATAGAATCAAGAAACACTGTGGTTTACAATTTCTCTTTTCTAAATTTTCCAAAGAAAAATAGCAAAAGGCAGAAAACAAAAATCAAAAAGCATACTGTAGATTGAGCTTAAATGTTTTGGATGATACTAAGCTTTGAATTAAAATACTAATTATATTTTTAACTAGCAAATTAAATTTTTTTTAAATATTGCACTTAATTTTTAACATATTAATCTTGGAATTTTATTTTTCAGGGCAAATGTTTAAAAACACTTAAAGGTCATAGTAATTACGTCTTCTGTTGTAACTTCAATCCACAGTCTAACCTTATAGTTTCCGGTTCTGTAAGTAACATACTGATGTATTCATTATGCATATAAAATAATCCACTTGCCTTCAGCATTCTAGAATTTTGTCAAAATATAAGTTCTTCGAAAATGCAATTATATCTTTTTGTTGTAGTTTTAGATCTTTTTTGTCATTTTATCTACTTAATTCTTGTATAAGATAAAGTAATTTATTCCTTGAAAGAATAGATAAAAATCAAGGAAATATATAAGATATTAGAATTCCAATAAACTATTCTGCAACATTAAACTAAATTATATGCTGTATGGCATTTATATGTATAGTTGATTACATAGTAGATTAGATTAGTAGATTAGATAGTATAGATTAGATTAGTGCTCGGAGTTAGTCTGAACATTTCAGCCGATTTCCGTGGTATACGCCTCCTTTCCTCTCCTTACCGCGCGCGCCGCAGCCGCTAGGGCCGGCGCCGCCGAGCGTTAGGAGCGACACTATCTTATTATGAGTGGGTTCTTCTCCCTATTTATTAAAATTAAAAAAAATGTATTAAAATTTATTAAAAATAAATTTTTTATTTTTAAATTTATTAAGTGGAAATATTTCAATAGATTTCCACGTCACCCATGAGATACTAATGCTGACGCGTTTTTTTTAAGTGGTTTCCCCCGTAGACCTATTCCACTAAAGATAAAAATAAATTCTTAATTTAAAAAAAATATATATAAAAGAGATTTTCTTAATTAGATTTTCTTGG